TAACAATATTTTTCCGAGCGTGAACTTTTCAGGATCGAGGTTCTCAATATTGTGACGCAGTGTGTGTCAAAAAAAATTAAGAACGGTTTTATTTTGAATTTTTTCATTATCATTTTTGAAGAAATTATAGAAAGAGGAAAATTCTTTTAACAATACAATAAGAAATCTAGAGCACCGGACTTAGGTGAGAAAAAACTCCGCACCTGCAGAATGCAGTGGGTTGTACCTAAATAAAAGCAAAGAAATCTTTTAAGGTTATTGGATGTGATGGTCAGAGAAAACTTGTAATAAATAAACAAAAAGTAGAATCAATTGCCGGATTGAAACAGCTGTGACAACTTTCATTTTGGTTCTTTATCAACTCAAATAAAATCGAGTTGTACAACTGATGTAAAAAGCAATAAAAAAATTATAGTTTATCTTATAAGGGTAATAGATAAAATTGGATTATGACGTTTCCTTGAGCATAGAAAAGTCGCCTATTGCTGTCTGTTTCATGTATTACTTAATTTTGAATTTTTCATGGGATCAGTGAGATTTTGTTGTTGTTGTATTTTTAGCTTATTTTTTGACGATGATGAAATAAATATCCATRGAAGTACAGAATTTTATAAAAGCAGGGACGAATTTCTATGAAAAAAACTGATTTGTTTCTGCTGAAGGCAGCTAGTTACACACATATTGAAAACAATGCTTACCATGCAAACAAAAAAAGATGCGACTGAATGGTCAAAATCAAAATTGTGACATTAAAATACTTCTGCCATGGATTTGCATTCAATACTGTCGACGATCATTGTATTTTCAAAATAGTGTACATTTATAACAAATTATTATTATAAAATAATGTGAAATAATTCTTTAGAACCATATTAACTCATAGAACTAAGTCCTAAAATATGGTAATTGAAAAGTGCCTCATGATTATTTTTGCCAATAACGAAACAGGGCTACAATTAGTTTGATAGAAATAATCAGCTGCAAATCTTATTTCGAAAGCAAACAGAGTAAGTACATCAATTAGTTTAGAAAATAGTTGGATTTCCATATTCACTGATGTGCACACCACCTTAAGAGCTCAGTATCAATTCTAAAAGAAACTTTCWAAAATACTTTCAACCAGAGATGAACGACACAAATTCAACCGACGGCCGTCACTTATACTGCGAGTACTCCAAACCTCCTTCAGAACTACGTAGGACATTGATGTTTATGTMCGCATTGTTAGTGGGATGCGCTGGAGTTGCTGGTAATAGTCTTGTCATTGCCCTTGCWGTTAGACACACTAAACGTAAAAAYCTTCATCATCTGATCATCAATATAGCGGTTTCAGATATTCTGGTAGTTGCGACCAGTTATCTCTATGTCCTTCCTGGCTATTTCAAGTACCCTTTGGCGTTTCAACTCGAGAAAAGACAAGCGAAGATATTTTGTAGAACAGTTTTACTCGTSCATTTTTGCTCATGTCTTGTGTCTTTATTTACATTGATGATCATCGTTATTGAACTATTTCGAGTTACTCGTCCTACAGTCACAAAGATAAGAGGATATTCAATCAAACAATGCATGGGTTTCCTTGTCGTTTCATGGGCTGTACCAATGGCGGTTTGTTGTCATTTCATCTATCTGGTTGATTTTCATCCTTATTACGGYTGTGGATACACTACAAATCCAGTAGGATGGAATATTAGCTACTGCACTTTTAATATCACATTATTCGCTTGTATTTTCACTTTCAGTATCCTGACTTTACGAAGAATTACACAGTATCAGCATACAGTGATTCAAGACAATCTCACCGCCATGCAAAGAAGTGTACGTTCAAAGAGACAAGCGAATACTGTAGCAATGGTACTATGCTCATTACTGYTGTATGTATTGACTATTTTTGCCAGTTTCCTCTACGATTTTCTTTTTGTGCTTTACTTTGAAGGCATTAAACTTATAGATCTAACTACATGCAAAGATTGGAATACAATGAACTATATATTGGCTTTTTTTCTAAAACTAGTCAACACCTGCTTCAGCCCATGTATCTATATAGTCTTCCTTGCAGACTTCAGGCAAGCTGCTAAACGTTTGGTTTGTGAGAACGCACCCAGTAGACGAGGAATAAACAGAAGAAATTCTATTGAACCCAGCAGCAATAGTATAACAACTGCATTATGAACACTCCTCCTCAGTGTAGAGAACAGTTACCCCTTTTCTGAAATTCAGTCTGGCACAACACCAAAAACTAGTCCGGCATAACCAATTGAAACTGTGACAAGTGCTCATCAAATAMATAGCGCTTTACTAGAGTACACAAAACTTAAATAATCAAATCTGTGACTGACTATAGTTTGAGTATTTTCACAGCAGTGGATGTACTGTACGTGTCGTTATTTCATCTACATCCAGTTGGACTATTGTCGCATCGAGTCGAATATGCATATCGTATCGATGTCGAAGGTCGGTCTTTTCGATACATCGTGGTTACTGTATGTTCTGGTATCAATGTGCTGATATATATACTCGTACAACCATCGATAGTCCTATGTGATTGGGTTATATAGAGTGGACCATCGTGCAATGGTACAACCATCGATAGTCCTATGTAATTGGATTATATCTGGATCATCTTGCAATGGTTAAAGTAAGTAGATGACCATCATATCCGCTACACTGTCAATGGATTCTGAAAACACATGAAAATCTAATCTTAATGCAATGACTTCTGCATTAATTGRCTTCAATCAGTCACCGGCAATCAAAATGATTTTCAGACATTACTCTTTTCAACGCTATACCACTATACTGTTCCCTAAAGTTATGGTCTACAATCAAGTTTAACAATAGGTATGATCAAGTTTTAACAATAGGGCTCATTAACCTTTTTCTGAATATTTCAGCCTTGATGGGCCTGGTGAGAAAAAAATCGAAAATGCAGTGACATTTTTAGCCCAAACACAATRGCCAAGCTCAACCATCAACATCCAGCCAAGGTCTTCTTCACATGATATGTTTTCGCTATTGATGATGAAGGTACGACGAAGCATACCGGGCCTATCATCGCCGCTAATGGAAAAAAAGCTTTTGGGTTGAGAGTGAAGACCTGTCCATGGACTGGACAGCACATTTTTGACAGTAAACCAGCTGGTTTTGTTGGACCCCACACCATTGAAAACCAACCTCAATACTTCTTGAGACTTCCTGTAAAGTGAAAGTCGCACCTGTCCACGGGAAAAAATAACAGAAGTAATTAGAATATTCACTGACTTTGATTCAGTCATTTTGATTAACGGTGTGAAGGTTCTGTTTTTTTTTCTTCCTGACTTTGATGAGTATCTCGATAGTCTTTTGATATTATACCAACCTTGACTGGCTTAAATGCTTCCCATTGTTCTACCAGACGGTTTTTGTAATGTTTTCGGCTCAAGTGATCCAATGGAGTTTCATCTAGTAAAGAGCTTGATGTCCATAACTTAGCAGGTCCCTGTGACAAAGCTACACCGCTGACCGCTTTAAATACCATGGTCCATCCTAAAAATTTGTCAAATGTTCAATGATCATACTATACTATTATAAAAATCTTGAGAATAATTAACAAAACATCTAACCTACCAGTTTCGTTATCTTGGCTACAGTATACTGACAGTTGTGCGGCATCAGGAGCTTTGATTTTATAGAAACCACTTTCCTTGTAGCCAGCGGCGTTACGGTCTGCGCAGCGGTTGAAATCTAAAATGTAGATTAGGTTTTTCATCTGCGTTAGAGGTTCCGCCGCATATTGAGCCGGCTTTTACCGTGGAAATKTAATAAAGCATGCATTTAAAATCTCCCTGATTTCTCATTGGAGACCGAGTAATCAGAAATCAGAATTAAGTTCTGTGTTGTCGCCACTTACCCTTGATTTCACAACGTGCTCCTCTGGTTCCCGGAAGACATTCACAGTTATAGCTGTCGTACGACTGATAGACAGGGATACATCTTCCATTGTGAAARCATGGTTTCTCGTCACACTTTGTCTAAATAACACAGAAAACCGACAAATAGTTGTAAAGAAAATACGCCCTATAGGTTTCAGTCTCATTTTTAGAACGCCCACTTTCTGGGCTTATAGTGAAATGTACCCCCCCCCCCCCCCCCCCCACCAAATACATTCTGTGTTAAAATTCGCGACTTTGCAGAGCTGTATCTTCTCATGTTTTTGACAAATCACCTTCAAATTTGACATGCTTACTAATTTTAGGTTGTTCTGTCCTGTGGAGGCGAGTTCGTTAACTGGTTTGTGTCAAATGCGGAAATAACCTTGGTTTGGTCTATTTTTGCGTAACCACCTGTAGCAAGTCTACGTTTTTAGCAATAATAATATCGTAAAAGGCATGTTAGTTATCAAATGACCTACCGGGATGGTATAATAGTCTACTCCTTTAACTGCGGTTATATTTGTGTTGTTTCCATACTGGCCAAGGTCGAACAGTACACACTCGGAGAAACCTTGAGCATCTGTTGTTTTGTTGATGTTGAGCGACAAGCAAGTTGATATAGTAGTACATTCCACAAGACACTCTTCGAGAGTTTTTACACCGAGCGTTTTCAAAGGAGTTCCTGAAAGTCCAGCGTTTTCGTACTTTTTAAAGTTTGCAAAGGAAAATCCATCTTTATTCCCTTGTGTTAATAGGCTTTCCTCTGCTCTTACAACAACGGTTACCAAAAGACTAAACAAACAAGATGAAAATGTCATTGTAATCAGGAGCCGCAACCAAAATGTTTTGGCCGGAAAAGTAAGTTCTTTTTCGCTGATGCTTGTTATGATACTAAATCRCATTGATATTGCCGTTGTGTCAAATTCCAGCACCCAACCTTTTTTGTCGGCAATGGGCTCAGTGGACTTCTAAAACGGCATTAAATTTTAATGTTTCATATTGTGAAAAGCCGCYTCTGATCATCAAAGCTACTGTTTGAAGAAAGTTGTTTACAACGTTACATATAGAAGTGATGTGTACGTTTTCGTCTTACTGACTARCTTCMKCTCTGAYGATTTGGAATGTACAAACAAGCAAAGCGAAAATAGCACAAATAACATGAAAAATGAAAACCTGTCGTAAATCAATTAATCACTTACTCACTAAGTGTAAGTTCAAAGGGACCATCTCGGTGGGGGCTTTAAGGATTTAATAAGTACGTTCACGGGGAACAATCRATGGCAAGGTAACCAACTACATAAAAGATTGAAAAGATGGTTGATACGCGCGATTTCAGTTCATTATATGAGATATAGAAAATTTATCTATTGGCACTGACCCGTCACTTGTGAGGGCATTCATTATTCCATTGAAATAGTTTTACTGCGCAAGAATTTGCACAAGAATTGTGCAAATTAGTATTGTCCAAGAGAGATTGAGGGTCTCTTACCATTATTTAACTATAACAAGGCTTTCCGCGGGCAGTAATAAGGACTATGAGTAAGCGATTTGTACTTGTGGACTACATGTGGTAAACTGGGTACGACGTCCTATATAGAACGAAAAGGATATCAGTTCATTAGTAAACAATTTAAAGCATTTCAGAAATACTAGAATTTCCAAGGAAATATATAGAATGCCGGATGGCTGTGTCCGGATTTTTTCCGAATTCCCATACATTTCTTTGTAAAAACTTGAATATTTGAAAAGCTGTTAATCGCTCACATTTGATTTGATCAACACCAAAATATATAAGTTTCTTATTCACTGTGTGTGAAGCTACAGGTACATAAATACAATGCACGCAAGCTCATGTAAAGCGAGGAAATTTCGATAGTTTCTAGTGATGGGCTGCCTGTGGTGATATGTCATTTAATCTTACCCATAATGCCGTGGTAATGCGACGCGTCCAAAGAGCAAAGAGCGGGAAAATAGAAACAGAACTGCTGTTGTTGGCTGCACTGTTGTTGGTCATCGTATATTTTGGAGCATAAGAAATATGCTAGGTCAAGGGAAAAATGAGGTATTTCATAGTATATCTATTCATGTTCACAGTTAATAACCGTGACAGATTACCAACATTTTGCTAAGAAAGACTGTAAGCCTTTCAGGACTTTCAGCTAACTCTACTAGATCTTTAAGCTTATACTTAAAGTACATGAAGTGTTTGTTGTTAACGATTTTATTCCTCGTGTATCCTTTACACACATAAGATTATTAAGAACGATACTTGATATTTTTGGCAAAAATGTAGGAACATTTCCAGTCTAAACGTCCAGTACACCAACCAGATCCAGATGTGCAACATCAGAACTTCGAATTCTTGGAAAAGTTCTTCCCAGGTTTGTTTGTTTTATGAGATTATAACACGATCCTAACTTTTATCTTTCCCTATACTTTCTATATAGATATACTTTTGGTTAAAAATTGATAATTTATGGCAGTGAATTTGAATAGAAGGCGGCTTTCTAAATAATATTTGTCTGACGTTCGGCATGTTGCTTGACCTCGACACTAGTTGTACAGTTTTTATACTATAGTTAACCAATCTCAAATCGTTTCAAGCCTATTGATTGATTAACTGAAACTCATACAATGACAGCACAATGTTTAGATCAAGTCTAATTGCCTGCTTAATGTCTATATTTTCAGAGAGGCACTGGAAGAGGTACATGATTCCTAAAGATTTTCCTGTGGTAAATCCAGCTGACACAGGAAAATGTGCAGAATTTAAATTTTTTAATATACTCAAACAAATTGATGAGCCAATGGTAGTGGTACATTCTTTTAAATGCAGTGTTAGAAAAACAAYSGAAGTTGACTTCTTGGTCTKCCACAAGACAAGAGGAATAATGGTGTTTGAAGTAAAAGCTACCAACAAAGCCAACAAGGGCTTCAAGGAAGGTCAACGACAGGCTGAAAAGAATGCTAATATTGTAAAGCAGATCATGGATCACAACCTAAAATTAAAGAAAAAGGAAGTTCGTTATACAGTAGTTCTTCCAAGTGTTCATTGCCGTNTGACATTAGCCGTGAAGACTCTGGGCTCGAGATTGGAGAGACTCTGGAGGAATGCGTTATTTCTCGATTCGTGATTGGCTGAAAATGACGCGAGCGCGCATTGTTTTCAAGTCGGTTTTTCAAGTCGCCAGCGTGCGCTCGCCTGTTTGGTCAAAAATATCATACTTTTATCGCATAAAAACACCTTTTTTCACACATTTTTGTTTTTGAAAAAGGTGTAACTACCGTTCCTAAACTAAGTTGTGTACTAAACCTCCTTCTTTTTTGTCATTTTGATGCTCTAAACCGGCAAAAACAAAACTGGGCTAATTTGCATAATTTGCGACGGAAAAGCGTCGCAAATCCAGTCGATTCCTCCACAGGTAGCCCAAGCACTACACTTGTCGGCTTTTCTCTGAAGGTCTTGTGGGGAAAAGCGAAAAATTCAATAAAAGTAGGAAATCTTCATAAAATGAATTCAAACTCACACAATATGTTGTTCTTAATTTATTACACATCTATGCGAAGTTTCAGCTCTCTGCAGTCAAAAAAACTGCTTTTTTTCTTCATGTTGGTCCCCTAGATAATAACTACATGTAGTATTTATTATCTAGGGGACCAACATCAAGAAAAAATGCAGTTTTGTTGACTGTAGAGAGCTGAAACTTCGCACAGATGTGTAATAAATTAAGAACAACATATTGTGTGAGTTTGAATTCATTTTATGAAGATTTCCTACTTTTATTGAATTTTTCGCTTTTCCCCACAAGACCTTCAGAGAAAAGCCGACAAGTGTAGTGCTTGGGCTACCTGTGATTCCTCCAGAGTCTTTCCGGCGTCAGCATACCGCTGACATTAGCCGTGAAGACTCTGGGCTCGAGATTGAGTGCACGCATTTAACCTTACCCACAATGCCGTGGTAATGAGTCGCGCCCAAAGAGCAAAGAGCGGGAAAAATATAGAAACGTAACTGCTGTTGTTGACTTCACTGTTAGTTTTTGTATGGTAGACATCATATACTAGTATTTTGGAGCATAGGAAAGCCTGAAATATGCTAGGTCAAGGGAAAAATGAGGTATTTTATATATCTATTCATGTTCATGTAAACCGATTACATTTCATCTGACTCCTACCATATGCTCCTACTCGATCTTTATTCAACTTATGGAGTGTTTGTTGTTAATGATTTTATTCCTCGTGTATCCTTTATACTCATAAGATTATTAAGAATGATACTTGATATTTTTGGTAATAATGCAGGAACATTGCCAGTCTAAACGTCTAGTACACCAACCAGATCCAGATGTACAACATCAGAACTTCGAATTCTTGGAAAAGTTCTTCCCAGGTTTGTTTGTTTTTTGATATTGAATCCCTACACTTGGTTGAAAATTAATAATTTATTAAATCAGACAGCGAATTTGAATAGAAGGGGCTTTCTAAATAGACGTAAGCCATCTGTCTGACTTTCGGCATGTTGCTTGACTTTGACGAAACAGGAAGTCGCGCGGCTGTTAATTAGAAGAGACTAAGTTTCATACCAATCTCAAAAAACTCATACAATGACAGCATAATGTTTAGATCAAGTCTAATTGCCTGCTAAATGTCTATAATTTCAGAGAGGCACCAGAAGAGATACATGATTCCTAAAGATTTTCCTGTGGTAAATCCAGNTTATACTATAGTTAACCAATCTCAAATCGTTTCAAGCCTATTGATTGATTAACTGAAACTCATACAATGACAGCACAATGTTTAGATCAAGTCTAATTGCCTGCTTAATGTCTATATTTTCAGAGAGGCACTGGAAGAGGTACATGATTCCTAAAGATTTACCTGAGGTAAATCAGGCTGACACAGGAAAATATGCAGAATTCAAATTTTTTAATATACTCAAACAAATTGATGAGCCAATGGTAGTGGTACATTCTTTTAAATGCAGTGTTAGAAAAACAATCGAAGTTGACTTCTTGGTCTGCCACAAGACAAGAGGAATAATGGTGTTTGAAGTAAAAGCTACCAACAAAGCCAACAAGGGCTTCAAGGAAGGTCAACGACAGGCTGAAAAGAATGCTAATATTGTAAAGCAGATCATGGATCACAACCTAAAATTAAAGAAAAAGGAAGTTCGTTATACAGTAGTTCTTCCAAGTGTTCATTGCCGTAATGCATCAAGGACAGAAGGAGTTTATTTTGAGGATTTAGATTCAAAAGATTCTTTCCAAAGATGGCTTGATGAATTTCGGCCAGAAAATGGCCGTAAATTTACTGATGATGAGTATGATCAATGTTTATCATTCTTTGCATATCACGTCGACCCAATGAGATTTACTCCTTCAATCAATTTCATACATGACGGATTAGAGAAGTTGACTCCTGACCAGGTTAAACTGGTTAAAGGACTGGATGAGGAGTTTTACATTGCTGGGCCAGCAGGTAGTGGTAAAACAGAAGTGTTGATTTACAAAGCATCAGAAAAGGAGCTGTCTGAACAAAAGAAACTAATTGTTGTATTTCACAGAGGTTTAGCAGAATATCTTAAATGGTAAGTTAAAGTAATTATTTTGTATAGAAATCTCATTGGTGTTAGACATCTAATCTTTTACATCACCCAAGCTAAAACAACCTCTTAACTATGTGTTACCCATCCAAGAATTGAAAATACTATAATATTCTAAAGCACAATATATATTTTTGTCCTACTATTCAAAAGATTTTAAGTGTTAAAACACTTCTGAGACCTGTTGTTGTTTGAAGAGCACAAAGGGCTATCCACTGGATATGCATATAAAATCTATGGAGTAGAAAATGTGTCGACTATTTGTGCATCACCCCGCAACTGGCTCCACAAGAACATCACCTCTGTGGACCCTGTTTTAATCTCGGTTGGGAAGCCATATATGTGATTTGAGTTTTTTTTGTTCACTCCCTTGCTTCAAGGCTTTTTCCGTTTTTTTTCGGTTTTTCCTCCCTCAGTAAAAACGAACCATTTCTATCTGCTGTGCTCTGTGATCAGTCGATGTTATGTAAAGGAAGCGCCTAGCCGGCAGCATGCCTATGTATAAATGTATTGTAAAATGTACCTGTAGTATAGCACTTCGACTTGAGACATATTATTTCAAACATATTTCAAACATATTATTTTATTAAACAGGAGAATGGAAAGCGTAAAAAAATTGACAATTAAGACATTTAGAGAGCTTCTACAAGCCTGCACAAAAGAATTTTTTCGCAAGGAAGTGAGAAACAATGTAAGTTTCAATATTGATATACCTTAAGCATTGTTGTATTGGAATTACTGTCAGACACAGGTGACTAAAAGGTGAATTAAAAGCAATAATGAGTTTTATATTTTCATTTAAGTCTAACAATACACAATTGGTAGAGAAAGCCATACAAGCTCTGAGCTACGTCAAGGAAGTGACAAATAATGTAAGTTTCAATATTTATATACCTTATAAAGCATTCTTTAAGTATAATTTACAAACATGTATGGGAATTGAAGTCTCAAGACATGGTGACTAATAGTCCATCAATTAAAATTCATATTTATTTGTGTTTTATATTTTCATTTAAGCCTAACAATACACAATTGGAAGACAACGTCATACAAGCTCTGAGTGACTGCCACCCATTTAGAGGCTATGACAGCATTTTTGTAGATGAAGCACAAGCTTTGGATGGGGAAAACTGGGAAGTCCTCATCAAGTGTCTTCACAACTCTGGACCAAATCATTATAAACTAATATTCTATGATGATAATCAGATGGTATCATATTCAAACCCGCCAAGTCCACCCAGTTCCCAGGTATATCACCTCACAGAAGTGATAAGGAACACAAGGAATATTTTCAAGAGTTCACTGCCCTTCTGTCAGTTTGAAAGAGAATGTGAAGTTCTCCACAAATATGATGGACCTGAGGTCACCTGGAATACCAGTTTCACAGATAATGATTTGGAATATTACAGTAATAATGTCATTCAGGTTATTGATAGCCATGTGAATGACATTTGGAATAATCTCATGGAGGTTGTTCCAATGGATATCTGTGTTTTGGTGGAAAGTCAAGAGAGAGCTTGCTGTCTCATAAGGAGAATGATCCAAGAGAGGTCTATTGTAGCACCTTTCACTGTGGAGGAGATGGCATCCAACCTTAAATATGGACATTGGAGGAACTCATCAAAAATAACACCTGGAAAGCAGTGTGGTGTTGTTGTAGATTCAATCAGCAGGTATTTAGTTTCTTATTTAATATATTAAAAGATGCATTTTGCTGTCCATTCAATTAAGGTAGAAATATTTATCCGACACAGCCATTATTGTGTCTCTGGCCTCTGATGTGACTATCATTGGTGATGAAGAACACTCAAGAAGCAAGAAAAACTTGCTGTGTTCTTGTTCCTAGGCTTCGTTCTCTTGTGGTTTTCATCTCCCACAGTGGGGACAGATCAATGGTTATTCAAGGGATGTTTGGCTTCAGTCCCAGAATTAGTAAAAAATAAATAAATAAATCCTGATATTTAGTCTTTCTCGCTCAAAAGTGGTCGTCCAGAGGGCGGATACATTCACCCTCACTACATGGCCACTACATTACCTATTTTAGCTCACAACGCTGCTCCCATAATTTGTGTTGATTTTTACTGATGGAGGAAAACCGGAGGACCCGGAGAAAAACCCTCGTGGCAAGGGAGAGAACAACACATCAAACAAACTCAACTCACTTATATGGTCCAGGCTTGAGCCAGGACTCGAACTACTACAGTTATGAAGAGTTCATTCATTCAGTTCAACAGTGTTTCTCTGAAAAATTCACAATATTGTATTCATCTAATGTTAATTAGTTTCATTTTGTATGTTCTCAACTAGGTATACAGGGCTAGGATCTAAAGCAGTAATCTTGGTACTAAACTACAACAGAATCAATGCGAAGCCGTTGGAAAAAGTATACACAGGAATTACAAGACCATCCTGTAAGCTTATCGTCCTCCTTTCAAAGAATGGACATGCACACCTTGAAAAAGCAATTGGAAGGGAAATATCTATTACCTCAGGGGATGAGNTTCAAACAAAAATGGGATCCCTGTGTCGCACGATAATATTCATTTCAAACTCGATATTTTGGAGTTTGAGGCGATGTCCATATTTCTGAGCCAGCAAATCTCTTGATCAGCGGTCCACATTTCAGAGCGAGCTTTGGTGGCTATCTTTACGATGAAATGTTTGAAGAGGAGGTTATATTCATCACAGTAATAATCGCTTTAGCGATATTTCTAGAGGAAGACAGTGTCTTTCAGCATTGTTGTGGGCTAACACGTTCGATATTTCGACATGGAATTCTCAGATTATCGAACAAATTCTAAGGAGATGTCTTTTAAAGACCACCCGACCTACCCGATGAAGAGACGATTACTATACCAAGTACTATATTGGCATAAAATCAGATAAACAAATGACTAACTAAAAGCAAACTATCAAGTTTATATTATCATAATATCAAATAAACAAAGTTATACTTTGTATTTTAGGAAAGAAAATGTTTTTATTTCTTTAATAAAAACTTTTAAAATCAGGCTTTCATCTTCGCTGAGGACTCTGCACAATCCCACAGCGCTCTTCTTGTAAAGATGTACAAACCAGTGATAAAAACTTTTCATACACGATTGTCTTTCTCAGGCATCGCAGCACTTACTTCAGATAAAAATCGCTAGTTTTATGTATACTTTAAAACACGAGAGAGAGAGAGAGAGTATTTAAAGGTCTTAAAAAATCCAACATTAATTTGAAACTCAAATCTGTTAAACTTCTTGGAGAAATTGCCGTAAAAATAAGTTTTGAGATAAATGCATGGGGCAGACTGATCATGCGCAAATCACGTTACAAAGCACTCTTGTCATCCCACATTGAATACGCATAAAGTAAAATAGAAGTGCTGATGGCTGTTTTACTGCAATCTGTTGATATCCTGCAGGGTCATGGACCTTTATATCTGATAAAGGTCACCTTTACTAGTATGTTTTGCATAAAGAATACTAATAAGGAGTGCATTCAGATATAAAGGTCCATGCATGTGACCAAATAGGCTCATTCTATTGACCTAATAACTCATTAATATTATGTATGAGTTTTCTTAATGACTGTTTGTATAACCGTCTCCAGATGAATATCATGGTTCAAAACAGGCCACAACTTAACATAATATTAAAAACATGTACTATTTCATTATTTCTATAAATAAACCCCCTAACATTTTTTCCATAACAGGAGAATGAAAAGCGTAGAAAATTTGACAATTAAGAGATTTCGACAGCTTCTACAAGACTGCACAGAAGATGTTTTACGTAAGGAAGTGACAGTTAATGTAAGTATAGTTTACAACTTGAGCAGCTGTGTTGTTTGGGAATTACAGTATCAAGTTACAGGTGATCAATAATTGTTCATGAATTAAAATTAATGATAGCCTGAGTATCAGGCTCTCTCGAAAAGGTTTGGGGCGGAGCGAGAAAGGAGAGAGAGCCTGACGCAATCTTCTATCGAGAGCCGTGTTCTGTGGCCGTTTCATGGCCGAAACGCTGATTGGTCTAGAGGACAAAGGAAGCGACAGAAATTAAAATATATATAATTATTATGTTACCGAACGACGCTATGACTCTCGATCTAAGTGAAGAACAGTTTGGGAAAGCTTTAATAGTACCCTGGTTCCAGAGGCTTGTATTTTATTCTTTTTTTTACTACATTATCAAGCCGTTCTTGAATCGGTTCATTTTTACGCTTACAAAAACAAACCGATTAACGGAAACGTCTCATATAACACTAACATTACATCAACCTATAACGAAGTAAAACAATTCAAGATTATAGTGATCAATCCTCTAGAGCTTATTAAACGTCCACAAGTTGAGAATCTGGTAAAAATCTTCATAAAAGCTGCGACTTTTAAAACCATGTAATAGCCAAATTTTGACATATAACCGCCACATCACGAAATCAAGCAAACCGGAACACCTTTTAATCAGCTTGAATTTATTGTCACACGTCACGGATTGCAAGGGGGCGGAACGGCTCTTGATAGAAGATTGTGTCAGGCTCTGTCTCCTTTCTCTCTCTGCCCCAAACCCCTTCGAGAGAGCCTGATACTCATGCTAAATTAATGAATTTTATATTTTCATTTAAGTTAAGCAATGCCAAAATGGTAATCAAAGCCATCCAAATTATAAGTAGTCAAAGCAATCCAAGTCGTTATGACAGCATTTTTGTAGATGAAGCACAAGATCTGGATGGAAAAAACTGGGAGTTCCTCATCGATTGTCTTCACAACCCTGGGCCAAATCACTATAAACTAATATTCTATGACAATAATCAGATGGTATCTTATTCAAATCCACCAAAACCACCCAGTTCCCAGGTATATCACCTCACAGAGGTGATAAGGAACACAAGGAATATTTTCAAGAGTTCACTACCCTTCTGTCAGTTTGAAAGAAAATGTGAAGTTCTCCATAAATATGATGGACCTGAGGTCACTTGGAATGCTAGTTTCACAGATAATGATTTGGAACATTACAGTAATAATGTCATTCAGGTTATTGATAGCCATGTGGATAACATTTGGGATAATATCGAGGAGGTTGTTCCAATGGATATCTGTGTTTTAGTAGAAAGTGAGGAGAGAGCTTGCTGTCTCAGAAGTAGAATGATCCAAGAGAGGTCTATTGTAGCACCTTTCACTGTGGAGGAGATGGTGTCCAACCTTGAATATGGACATTGGAGGAACACATGTAGAATAACACCTGGAAAGCAGTGTGGTGCTGTTGTAGATTCAATCAGCAGGTATTTAGTTTCTTATTTGCTATATTCAAAAATACATTTTTGCTGTTTATACACTAAAGGATGTTAGGAATATTTATTACAGCCATTTTGTGTATCTATCCTTTGATGTGACCATCATTGGTGATGAAGAACACTCAAGAAGCAAGAAAAACTTGCTGTGTTCATGTTCTTAGGCTTTGTTCTCTTATGGTTTTTATCTCCCAGTGTAGACAGAACAATGCTTATTCAAGTGTTATTCAGCGTTATACAACTCTGCTGACATGATTTGTGTTGATTTTTATTGAGGAAGGAAACCAGGAGGACCTGGAGAGAAAGCCTTGTGGCAAAGAAGAGAACAAAACACATGTAACAAACTCAACTCACTTATATGGTCCAAGCTTGAGCCAGGACTTCGAACTAGTCTCCTCACAGCCGTGTTAAGTTTCGGTCATGCGTCATGTGAGGAGATATAGACTCAAACTAGATCACAGTGGTTGAGAGTTCATTTGTGCAATCTGTAACAGAGTATTTCTCTGATTAATTCACAATTAAACCTATGTATTTATCTAATGATAACTAATTATTTCATTTTGTATGTTCTGAATAGGTATGCTGGGGTAGGATCTAAGGCAGTAATCTTGGTACTCAATTACACCAGAATCAACGCAAAGCTGGTGGAAAAAGTATACACAGGAATTACAAGACCATCCTGTAAGCTTATCGTCCTCCTTTCAAAGAATGGACATGCACACCTTGAAAAAGCAATTGGAAGGGAAATATCTATTACCTCAGRGGATGAGCCAATGGAGATCGGAGAATAATAATTATAGTTTATTATATAGTGCTGATTCTAATCTTTTTACTGGTGAAATGTTAGCACTCTAATATAATTATTCTTACTTCCTAAATTGTTAACCTGTTTAAAATAGGTTTTGGATTTTAGTGCTGTAAAGTAGTTTTCAGAAGCCTGCTTCAGAGCAAAGTTTAATTGAAATACAATAATTGATGTCTCACTAACAACTTGCTTTTATTTCAAGTATTTACATAGTTTGCATGCACTCTAGAAAGTAGTATATTTTACTTTTTAGCTTTGCTTGAAAGCAACATTAATTTTAGTCCAATCCAAATTGATATTACTTGTGTGACATTGACAACAATTCACAAAGGGTCGGGATGTGCAATGGATTATTGGAAAACCAACATGTGCGGGGCAAAATGATACTTAAAAACAATAAAATAGAGTTATAACTTAGATGAGACTATTGTGTATGTCATTTCCATATTGAAATTATTGTCAAGTTCGTGACTAGATTTCTCTCTGTCAGTAATGGTAGATGTTGGATCTTATTTGTTCAGGGAGGGCTGGGACAATATTAGTGTGGTGACATGGCTTCAGCGTGGGTAATGTAGCTGAGCAAATCAACTCTTGTAACAATTCCAAAGATCATTTCTTTTTCTTTCATTACTGAATTTTCCTCATCTATAAAGACAAAACAAATAGTTTAATAAACTTGCCATAAAAAATGTGAATAAACATACATGATTATGGTCCTGCATGATTGCTGAAGGTTGATTAAAATGACCTCCAGTAGGTACAAACTATTTTTAGAGAGAAATTCAAACAACTACACAACAAATGATAATATTATGGAGAAGCTAAAGGAAAGAAATGAAAGAAAAATARGAAAGGGATAGAATACTCACAGACTCGTTGGGAATGCACAACCAGTGCATAGTGGTCTATGTCAAGTATGCGTGATAGCTTTCCCAGTTCTGTGTCCAAAGTGACCTAGAGAACAAATCTCTTTTAATATAAAGTTGACATCCAAGACAAGCTGATTTTTGCTTTATAATTCAATCTGMAATTCATGAATTTAGTTTTGCAAATGGATGGCTGATCTAAAAACATTTTGTTGTAAAGGCAAAAAAGAGTTTCCAGTTTTGTTGATCTATTTTACAAATAATGCACATCACGATGAGTGTATGGTGATGACATTATTAGACCATGCAAGAATGATTGTGCCCATATGTAAAAACTTTCTTTCTAGTCATTAAAGAAGAGAGTTGTCCTGTTTCCCTGTTCATTGCGTGTACTAAAAGCTAGTCTGGGGTACTTCTTGCATAGACCATAATATTTTTGAACCCATGTGTCAGTAGGACATTGTGTTATTACCATGGTTACCTCATGATAGAAAGAGATGGAGTGGGGAGTGAGAATGGCTTCCTTTTTTATCAAGACAAATTATTTTSATGCCTTGAATGGAGAAGGAATTCAACCAATATGCACTCTTCTACAGCTGGCTAAAGCTAGAACACAGAATACAAGCAAGTAAGACAGATTATATAAGACAAGATTGTTTGTACTTGGATATCATTCTTTATATTTATTCTATATCTTCTTGTAGGGACTGGTCACATATTAGAGGGGGAGGGGCTGATGCATTTCTATTTCCCTGGACATATTTTCTTTTGGCCCTGAGCTTTCAAATGCACAAAACTACATGACCCATTAAAATTGCAAACATAAATTCACATGACCCACCCAAAAGTGATCATGCTTATGAAACCTTAAATACTATATTTTCAAAATGTCACAATTTCATAGACCATATGAAAAAGGTGGTGGCTGTTGTAACGCTTTTGAAAACCAGTATAATTGAGATCTTGCCGGACTTGTTTTCACGTTTTTGTTTGTTACATTTCAAATGCTYGTAACTCTGCTGATATTCAAGTAATTTCAAACTAAAACTCTGCCACTTGTCTAGTTTAGATGTATTCTATATAATATGGTTAAAACATTTTGAAAAACATGGACAATTTAAGGTACTTGTAAGGGGATATCGCCTATYGCAATGTGGACGGATTTAAATTCGGGCAGACGTAAAACTACAATACAAATACACGGAAAAGCTAGTTAAGATACAAATGAAACTAATACGATTTACAAGCAAATGGTGAAAACGAAAACTTACTGACTGTCCCACACAAAGGCGATACTCCAAAGTACAAAATTTGTAGCGCAATTCTCAATTCCACAAAGATTGATTGCATATACGCAGTACGTGATTACAACTTGAAGACGAGAGAAAACTAATACTAAGCAAATTTACATGTACACAATTCTCGTGGGACAGTACAAAAAACTGATAATACAAAGAACTAGAATACAATTTTAGTTGAACAAAAAGGCATGACTCCYACCCTATGTGCAGCAGCCCATACCCCCCTCTAATATATGACTGGTCCCTTACATATGTCTATCAAACAGGAAGTGGGAAAACTAGAAGAATGACATGAGTCATTTACAGTACCATTAACTACAAAGGTTCAGTGCTTGATAAAAGAATAACAAGTGAGTTTCAGGTAAGAGTTCACCATGTTTGCATTGACAGGCAATAATATTAAAGAGAATAGGCTGTTAAAGAGTTTGAATCATGAAAGTAATTGTGTGATAAACRAGTTTTTGTCATTTACCTTCTTGAAATTTTTGTAAATGCATTGTGACACATTGTCTGTTGGCTTCATTCGCCCTGCTACAATTTGAGACATGATATTRCCAAGGGTAATCATACCCAAAACAGCCCTTCAGAGTGAAAACAAAAAGAATTGCTATCAAATTCATCAGACGTTTTTGCAAATTTCTAGCAACACCATGCTTACCCAGTTTGGTCTACAACAGGAATTTGATCATAACCTTCCCTGAAAGACAAGCATCACTTACATGATAAAATGTTATAGTTAATCATTAAAAATGAAGGATTATAATCATTTATTTTAGAAGAGAAGGATGATTTTTTTTGCTTTAGACAAAGACAAAGAAGGGACAACTTACTTGCTCATGATATCAATGCATCCTTGACAAGTGATTGATGGCAGCACAGTTAAAGGTGACTGTAGGTTGAGAGAACTGATCTTTTTTTTCCACCACCTAA